TATATATATATATATATATATATATATATATATATATACACACACACACACATATATATATAACATAATAAAATTGTTTATTTAAGAATAAATATTGAGAGGGAATTGAAAGAAGGTAATCAAAAATACAAACTTCCAGTTATAAGATAAATAAGTATTAGGATGTAATATACAACATGATGACTACAGTTAACACTGCTTTATGCTATACAGTAAAACCTTGGATTGCGAGTGACTTGGTCTCGAGTGTTCCTCAAGACGAGCAAACATTTCTAATACATTTTAACTTGGTAAATGAGCGATGTCTTGCAATATGAGTAGTTTGTTTCCTGAATGAATTATGCTCGCAAACCAAGGTATTACAGTATTTGAAAGGTATTAAGAGAGTAGTCCTAAGAGTTCTCATTGCAAGAAGCAAAAATTTTTTTTCATTTTTTTTTCTTTTGTATCTATATAACATGATGGATGTTAACTTATTGTGACAATCATTTCACGATTTATATAAGTTAAGTCATTATGCTGTGCACATCTTATACAGTGCTATATGCAATTATACCTCAATAAAATGGGGGGAAAATATAAAAGAATAAATACTGAAAACATTTCCTTTAAGTAGATAGTATCACTGAAATATCAGAAAAACTTATGCAAGAAAAATAAAAGCAGTTAGAAACTCTTGGTTGGGAGGACTGCATAGACACTTCATGGTCTAAATATGCAGAAAATTGAAAATCTGGAAAATTTTAAGTAGTTGATTAGGGATCAGTAATGAGAATTCATTTAACTTTCAAGCTAGAAATACAATCCTTAGTAGCTTAGGAGTAACAGCATTAGATCCTACAGAAGGAAGAAAAATTCTAACAATTTCACAAACATCAAACATTTAGATAGTCATAATAATGCTAAGACCCCTGAAAGCATGTGATCGCAATTATGAAGATAACTACCAGAAGAACTAAAATTAGAAACAGCTAAAACTAAAAAGTCTGAAAAATACTATTTTGTTACATAAACATAGTTTTATATAATTTTTAAAAATTGTCCCTTAATATTTTGCATTTTAGCCATTTTTGACAGATTTGCATTGAAAGGGGTTCTAAAATAAAGAATCTGAAAGAAAATTATAGTCTCAGTCATAATTGTGGGTTGCATTAATGATTCCATAATCAATTATCGTTACCTAATTGAGGCCCAGGAAATATAGAAATATAACAATACCAGCATTGTTTGTGATTTAAAGAAGCATCTAAGAAGCACCGGGTCCCATTTGCTTTTGATATTAACCATATGGCACCAATAAATGATATTAAACTACTTCAAAGAGAAGTTATAAGTAAAGTTTCCCTACCCCTGCTGAGGTTGCTATTAGTTTTATGTCTTGAGTGTTCTGTTTTATGATATTTTGCTTTCTTGTTTTTACTACTGTTTAGTTAATAAAATGTCATACGCGGTAATCATAGATGTTAGGCTGAAATGAGGCAGACAAGAATAAATGGTTTCAAAAGCCGAGGAGTATTAAATGGTTTACTTTAGAAATGACTGATAGACATGTCTGGCAGCCAAAGATAAATCGAGGCTCACTAAAATCCAGCAAGTTATACTTGACTGAACTTGAGCTTGAGTCCTTCTAGAGAGATTTATATTTGATCATGGAATGCCCTCGGAACACTGACCTTCTTAAAACCTCCTTTTTTCCAGTTCACCAAAGCAGTGAAACACTTTGGGGAAGAGGCTGGCAAAATACAGCCAGATGAGTTCTTCGGCATTTTTGATCAGTTTCTTCAAGCTGTGTCAGAAGCCAAACAAGAGAATGAAAACATGAGAAAGAAGAAGGAAGAGGAGGAACGCCGAGCTCGCATGGAAGCCCAGGTAAAAGAATGATTAATTGGCAATCCCACCTCTGGGAAGTTCGGTTGCTGCAACTCTTTGGTTTGTCAACAGCGCTCTCATGCGCTGGCAAGAAGGACGGTACCAAAGTCTTCTCTCGAATGCTGCTGGGAGTTTAAATTGGTATAAAGTTTCTCTTGGGCAATTTGACAGTCTATATCCAAAGTCCGAATAACAATATCCACATCCTTTGATCTGGAATTCCATTTCTTAGAAATTATTCTAAAGAAATAATCATAAATTTGCACAAGAGAGCAGCGATCTTCATAATAGCCTCAACCTGGAAACAACCTAAATGCTTACCAACCAAACATTAGTTCTAAATGATGTAATAGCTACATAATGGAATATTGATGCAGCCCTGGAAAGTCATGTCTTTGAAGATTATTTACGTAATAATGCAAGAAAGATTACAAAATGATTTCTACATGAAATCTTTTTTTTTTTCTTAAAATAAGTGTTAATATAGAAAATGGTGGTGGGATAGTCCCCCCAAAAGTTCACAATGGTTACCTCTTGATACTAGAATTAAGAATGATTTTATTTCTGGTTTTGTTTATCTGAATTTTCTAAATTTTCTATAGAATATGTGTATTATTTGGCTTTTAATGGTAGTAACGTGGCATGGCAAGTTCCAGGCATCCACAGTAGATACAGACTAAGCCTTGGATGTAAGGAGAGTGGCCTGATGAGTGTTTGCTTTAGTCTTTCTGAACCATCAAAGAAACCAGTATTTGGGGTCTGTTTAATAGCAACAACTTTCTTGTTCCATTATGGAAATACAGATTGCTTCAAGGGCTCTTTTCTTAACTACGGTAGAATATCATGATGTGTACCTAGATTCGAATCACCGAGCAGTGGTGACTTTTCTTTATTCATTGCATCCACAATGAGCCCTTCTGTCCCAGTCACCCCTCTCGTGACATGCAGGGGCGTGAGCAGTTATAGATGAACATGTGGTGTGACTGAGGCTTTGCCGTATTTCACAGAATTCATCGCCCCTGAAAACAAAATACAACACTTCGGCACTTCCCTAAGAGGTTGCTTTCTTTTTGCAGCTCAAAGAACAACGGGAAAGGGAGCGTAAAATGAGGAAAGCAAAAGAGAATAGCGAGGAAAGCGGAGAGTTCGATGACCTGGTTTCAGCTTTACGCTCAGGAGAAGTATTTGACAAAGACCTTTCTAAACTGAAACGGAATCGCAAACGTATCACCAACCAGATGACGGACAGCAGCCGCGAGAGACCAGTCACAAAACTTAATTTCTAATTTTCCTTGAATACTTTTTTAGAAAGCTCATTAGCAGTCCTTTGAAGTGACTAGAACTTTTCATTACACTGCCTTGCAACCCGAACAGTGGCAATTTCTTCTTTCATCTGTGAGTGAATGGTGAATGTGTGTGTATGTAAATGTATGTGTATATGTATATTAAAAAGTGTATATAGAAGTCTGAGTGTTGTCTGGAGACCTATCTGTATGGTTAAAAGAAAACCTATGTTAATGTATGTGCTCGGAAACCGTTTGTGTATGCATTCATATTGAGTGTGGCTCATTTTCTTCCCCTGAACACCGTGACTGTTCAGAAGCACAATACTATCTCCTGAAAGAGATAACAGAGACATTCCCTAGAGTAAAAACAAAAACAAAAGACGAAGAAAACAAGCTTGAGAAATATTTTAGGGTTTCCAAGCTTGGTATACTTTGAAATTATTTTCATTGGTGAAACTGGTGTTGGAAAAATATAGATTTAAAGTGGTTTTTGATAGTTGACAATGTGATGCCGGTGCATTGCATCAGTAGCTGATAGGACCAGCTTCGAATTTCTGACATTGGTGCGGGGATACTGTCTGTAAATGTTTATTGAGGACATCTTGCACACAATCTGAATTATGTAGAATGTCATTCAGAATTTTTTTATGTATTTAAAACTTGAACATCAGTCCCCCCCACCACCCCCCCAACTTCATCGAGTTCTCTGCCAAGTGCTCTTGATGATTTCTTTACATTGCTTTTGGAAGGCACATGATTCATCCAAATGCAATCGGTGGTCTTGTTAAAGAACAGGATGCCAGAATGTGCATGTTGTTCTAAGAATATAGATATATAAGCTTTAAAAATAAAATTCCCCACCCAACACCTAAAAGGAGGAATTCTCTGAAGGGATAAAAATTATTTTAAAAAACTTTATGGGTTGCCTTTTTTTTTTTTTTTTTTTTTTTTTTTTTTTTTTTTTNTTTGTATTTTCTGTTTTGTAGGACAAGCTGCGTCTTCTGTAAATATAGGTCTGGAGTAGAGGACACTTAGTAAATGCACAAAATGTCAACAACACCAACAGAGATGCCAAGATCTATTTATCTCCAAGTATGGTTGAAGTGGTTTCCTGTTTATATGTTGTCATTTTAAATTGTGTGTCAGTAAAGCTACCTGTAAAATTTCAGTCCAAAAGATAAAGCTCTCAGGGAGAAATGAATAAAAACAATGGACATTAGAAAATAAAATATAGATGCTTACCATTAACCTACCAACTCTTAATATCCTTAAATTATATGATATATAAAGAGGACTGTTACTTTGTTTTTTCTTTTGCTTTGCTTTATTTATTTGTAGTGGGGGAGGGGAGCTAAGGCTCTCTTTTTTTCTTTCCATTGATCTGTTGTGATTTGGGTTTCCTGTGGAGAGAGTAGTTTGTCCTGTTGCACTAGAACATTATTTACTCACTAAATTGAGTTTTTCAGTCAAGTAACAAATATTTATTATACCCACTGTGTGCCAGGCATAGTAGGGCTACAATGGTAAGCAAGACAGAACCCCTGCCCCCAAGGAGCTCACGTTCTAATGGGGATATTGAGGGGTGAACAGAATACCAATGTGCGCTGTACAGGAATCGTGCTATTTAAAGATAATTTGTATAAACTATAATGCTTAGCACAGACGACGCGGTCTCTGCGCTATGTGAAAGCTGTGAAATAGTGCTCTAAGAGTTGTCAAGAGCTGTGGTTTTTACATTTTTCCCCTCATTGCAACATTTAGTGACTTTCTACACATTATGGAAGTAAACGAGTCTAGCAAGTGAAACAGTCATAAATACACAGCAGAGGATGCGCTCCCCCCACCCAGTTACCCAGGTCTGCAAATACACCGTATTAAAGGTGCCAGCAGAGACGTTGCTCAGAAAAGGCTTAGAGATGCGGAGGAGTGGGATATGCCGATGGATTTGTCCATTCCTTAACTAAAGTGCCTCTATGTACATTCTTTTCTATTTATAGCAGGAGAAATTTGGTCTGGCTCAGTCGGGGAACTGGATTTTGAAAATGGCTTTGTTTTACAGTTTAAGGAATGGACAAGTGGATGGAGAGTCACGTAAAGCAGCACATTTGTGTGTCATGTCCCTCCTGCCCCTTTGGCATCATCCTCATTTTGATAAGGCCATCCTGGTAGGCCCTCTTTGCCATTTCCATTTTTCATTTCTTTCCCCAAAAGCTGTGTGCAGGTAATTCCATGTGCCATTGTTTAAAAAAAAAAAATCTACTTTTTAGATTGGTGCTGGTGTAAGTAGCCACTTTTCTCTCTTGGGTGTGTATTTTCAAGTTTTTTGTTTGTTTTTTTAAATTAATGCCAAAAAGAAGAAGCATTATAATTTGTAAACTTAATTATATGTCTTGTATCTTATTAGCTTAGTAGTTGGAACCACTTAGTCTTTAGGTGCAAGACTGTTGTTACAGTACCATGAAAAAAATGTTGTATGTGTTATGAGATTGTACATTTTTTTTAAATAGCAATATGCAATAAAGAGATGAATTCATTGGGTGTATGCATATGCTTTCTATGAGTTATTAAAATAGCATTATCAAATTTCTTTGCACTTTTCCACCATTAAATTTAAATATTACTAGTTGTTTACTAAGAATTATATACATATTTTTTTTAACTTGTACACACTGCACCTAGAAGGGTTTAGTTTTCTACTATGGCAGCATTCAGTATGTCCACAGACTACCATAGGCTGCCTCTTTCTAGAACCTCTTCTCTTTTTTTTAGCTGAGCCATCCTGCCACCTGTTGGCAGCTCAATGGCTGCTGAACTGAGGCCACAAATCGAACCAGCGACCCTGTTGCTCAGAGCTCACACTCTTGAGCAAGCTCTTAACCAACTGAGCCACTCTGCCAGGCCCCTCTGTAACCTCTTTGCATGACTCTGAGTTACACAGTTTCTTGGTGGGGCTACTGATGAAATTATTCAACTGAAAGTACTGAAAAGACTCTCTAGTCTGGAAACAAAACCTTTTCCATTTGAAGCATTTCCTTTAAAAAAAAGTAACTTAGGATATAGGTCAATATGGGAAGTGTCACCTGTACAGAACAAGGAAGGTGGATTTCATCCTCTGAAAACCAGGTTTTCTTGGCTCCACATCACTGGCTGGTTGGCTGTCCTCAGCCCAGTTTGAAGTCAAGCTGAAAAATTGCCCTTGATAAAGGGCACAAGCCCTTTTGATTTTTGGAATGGACTCATGATGTTCTTATAATTGTTAACCCTCTTGTTTTTCATCTAGGCGCTGGGTAATGCATAATAAGTATCCAAAGGCTGGTTTGTTCTCATTCAGATGGGAGAGACTTGTGCATGTTGGGATGAATTTTATATTCCATCCCACCAACGGAATATAGTACCATTGCCTATTTGTACATTTTGAGTGAGGAGCTACATACAGAGCCATCTAGACCTTCAGTTGCTCTGAGTGTATTGATAGAAATAGGGGAAAACATGAAACTTTCCAATCATTACTCTTATTTTTATGTCTTTGGTTCCCCCCTAATAACCATTATTGGGGAAAATGTGCTTCTGTCAAGAGGTGAAGCTATTTAATCCCTCGAGAACTTTGCCCCTTTTCTGTAACTGAACATGGGTTTATGTGAGACAAAAGGATAATCTTTATTAAACTAGTGTAAACAATTATTCAAAAGACTGAATTCTAAAAGAATTTTTCATGAGATTTTTTCTTTAATATCAGCTGTTTCCTATCAAGTGGTAAACCTAAATAACTCTCAAGGTTTAACGGTTACTTGATACCATTCAGTTCCATGAACACTAGCTTTGAGAACCATTGGACTATGTGTAGAGAAATGTAAAGTCAAGATTCTAGGGCTTCTCGCAGTGGGGTTATTTTTAGACCATCACTACGCTGAGTTAGGTGCCCATTTTCTCTAAATGGTCTACACTGGTTTAAGTATAGCTCTTTTCCCCCTGTTAATATGAGCTGTACTGAAGTCTGAAAACCTGTTGAGTCCATAATTACAACATGGCTTAAAGTCTATATTTTATCTTAGAGAAAGTTTGGAAACCTGGAGGAAAGAGTTTCTTGTTTATCAGGATTTTTACATTTTCCATAGCAAAGACCAATCAAAATTATTTTTCATCAGTCTTGTGGGGAAAACCTCAGAGCTAACCTTTGGTCTCTTCCCTGATATGCATTTGTCTACAGCAGTCAACTGTGTTTCCATGGTGTCAAACAAACAACATGAACACAGGATTGCTCACTATGGGTTTTTGACAAAAGAGATCCTTGTTTTTATCAAACCTTTATATGTTTTTCATGGGAAAGAGGTTTCAAAGTATAATTTTTCCATGTCATATGAAGTAAAGTATTTGTTCTCTCTGCCTGTGGTTTCTTTGAGAGAAGGAAGAAAAGAAACAGTTCAATACTGCTCTTCGGTACCTTCTCCCATTTCATTTACGCCCTTATGGTCATGTGGGGACATTTCTGTGGCAAAGGAGTCTGCAGTCCCCCATGTGATTGTCAGTGTCCCCACCCCCACCCCCACCCCTACCTCCAGTGTAGAGAAACTTCCCTATGTCTAATGAGATTTGGGGACCACATGACTTCCGGAATGGGAAGGGGTGCCTGGAGAGGGGGTGATTGTGATGCTGAGCAATGACTCAGGGAAACAGGCACAAGGGAGAGAAGGAAGTGCCTCTACCAGCCTCTTGAAAAGAGAAAAACGCCTGTATACATGGCCAGGCACTTTCCTACCAGGTCAGGTTAAGCTGCCCTGCTCCCTGGCACATGTCCCCTCAGCTAAACTCCCTTTGATAACTTATGTGCTCCTTGCCTTCCCCAGTTTATCCAGTTCTGGGTATAGCTCCAAAAAACAGCCCAACAGGGTAGCTTTTCATTATACTTCCTTGGGCTTCCATATAGACCACCACCCTTGAAGACTTCAGCCCCACCTCTAAAAACTCCTGGGCAACTCTTAGACCTATAGGACCATGCTGTCCATTTCTTAACTCTACTTCAGAAGCCAGGGGGAAGAACTAAAAGGAAAGGTTGCTTTCTAGTGAGCTAGCCACACTTAGTTCTGATTATAAGCCTGTAGGATTTCCAGTTTAAGATCGTTTCTCCAAGTTCACTGTCATTAGAAGGTTCACAAGGAGATACTGTCCTTCCTCCTTCTCTTTCTTTCCTCAAACCAGCTCCTTCCCATCGTCATAAAGGCTTCATTATTAGGAATTCTCTTAAAAGAACTTTTGCAGAAAACAGCCCTCTCCTACTGCCTCGAATGTGAGATATTTGACCCTAAAATGCGGCTGCTGTTTGGTGACCTGACGTTTTTAATGCTGGTGAGTTCACACTGAAAGCTTGGCCTTCCAGTGTCTGCAGAGCCACTGCTAGGCATGGGGTCACTGCTCAGGGATTAATGCCATGGGCAAAGGAGCCTCTCACAGGATCTGGAGAAAGGATGCTTTGAGGTCAATTGGCCTTGACTTTACCTCACTAGCATGTGGCAAAGGTGACCCTGATAAATCCTAAAACCACCTATGTTCATTAAAGCATTCCCCACAGAAAACCGTTCCCAAACTCCTGTGTGCCAAGCCGCACAGTAGAACCAAATAACTCTGAGTTACAGATTTGTTTGTTGCCATTGGACATGAGCTGTGACCTTAGGTGAGTCTTCTAAACGTCTTTATTTGCCTTTCTGGAAGCTGGACAGAACAGTTGTAAAGCTTCCCATTACTGGATGTAGCAGTCCTGACTTAGGTTCCCAGTACCTAGTCGCTGGGGATTCACTGCAGCCCACTTACTAACGAGAATTAGACACTCTCCTGATTGCACTGTTTTTCGGCCACAGCCAAGAAGCCCGGCCTCCGCCTGGCTGTATGGGAAGGGGAAAGGTGGAAGGGCAGTTGTTTAGAGCAGTTTCAGCATTAAAGAGGCTCGTTTCAGGATTCCCTTTTATTTTACCAGGTAACTGTGGTAACATGGATCCTCAGAGCCTCATCAGTCTTGCACCAAAACCACGTGCATTGATTTAGTCTTCAAATCAATGTATATCATTAATATGGCTTTTCCCTGTAGAGACTGCGGTGACTTAGAAAGAGTGTGGTTGGGAGAAAAGGCAGAACAAATCAAACTAAATGGATGGGCTCACTGCTGTCTTCACTGGAGTGGCCACAGCTGGAGTGTTGGGTTCTCAGGGACGCTGCATTTTAAGAGCAACACTAACAGACAAAAATGCATCCTGGTAAGGAGGTTTAAAAGCTGACTCCGAAGCATCCACTGACAAGAAACTTTTAGCCTGCAAAACAAATTAGCAAGGACGTCTGACAGCCCACCTCAAGGAGAAGACTTACTTTGTGTTTCACCAGACGTCAGGAATACAACCAATGGGTGAAAGTCACTGACAAAGCGTTTTCATTTTTCTTAACCTGTAGAAAACTTTCAAACTCCTTTAACAGCCAGCAATTGAAAACGTGCCACGTAAGATGCTGAGTATGCCCATCTTTAGAGACAGTCAAACCTCTAAACTGGATGCCCAGGGACTGATGACTACCCATCATATCAGGCATGTTGTCAGAAGTTTGGGACTAAGTAGCAGGTTGAATAAATGATTTTTAAAAACCTTTTATTTGGAAATAATTTCAAACTTACAAGAACAATGCAAAATTAGAATAGCATAAGGAATACCCTATGTGCCCCTGAATCACTGTTGTTAACATTTTGCCCCATTTGTTTGATCATTTGTTCTTTTGCTCTCTCTTTGTCTGTGTATATGTATACACATGATCTTTTTTCCTGAACCATTAAAGAGTAAGTTGTATACAGCATGGCCCTTAATTCCCAAATACTCCAGTGGGCATTTCTAAGAATAACTTTAGTATATTTATCAACTTCATAAATTTATATCGACATTGTTATCTGATCAACTATCCATGTTCCAATTTTGTCAGTTGATAAAATAATGAATGTCCTTTATAGCATTTTCCCCCATCCAGAAAAGGATCTAGTCCAAGATCAGGTACTGTACTCAGTTGTCATCTCTCCTTTCAGCCTCTTATACTCTTTAACCCATCTCTGTCTTTTATGACATTGACATGTTTAAAGCAAAGTCCTGTGATAGGCAGAATATTGGCCCCCAAAGATGTTCATGTCCTAACCTCCAGAATTTGCAAATATGTTATCTCACATAGCAAAGAGAATTTTGATTAAGGATCTCGAGACAGGAAGGTTATCCTGGATCACCCACATGGGCCCAATGTCATCACAGGCGTCCTTATGAGAGGGCGGCAGAAGGATCTGAGTCAGAAGATGTGAGAAAGGAAGCAGAGGGTGGAGTAATTAATGCGATTGCTGGCTTTGAAGATGGAAGGGCACCATGGCCAAAGAATACAAATCCCCCCACCCACCTTTTTTCCTTTAACTGTAATTTTCCTTGTACTTTGTCTGATTTTTTGTTGTTGTTGTTGTTAGATTAAGGTTATGCATTCTTGTCTGGAAAATAGCATAGGTGTTATCAGGGAATCACATCTATGTCCCTCATA